GTGAAGTCTTTAGCGTAGCTTTTGACACATGTTGTTGTATTTGTGCAGTTGGGCTGAGAGTGCCTGACCTGGATCAGGCCCCTGCTGTGCTACGAGCAGAAACAATTCCTGCCCTGAAAAGGCAGATGGACAGAGCGATAAATCAACAGAAGAAGCCAAATGTCAAAGCTGCTGTTCAGAGGGAATTGTTTAAATTGATCTTGCCTCAGCCCTCTCTGACATGCAGAGGAGCGGGAGCGGTGGGTTGAGTTTGCGTTTCAGATGCTCTGTGGTTTCCCTTTCAGATGGTCGCTAAAATAAATATTCTTCCCATTTTCAAGCAAACCTTCCTCACTAAAAAAGCGTGTGGTCGGTGTTGAAGGGCTGACCCTGCGCACTGCCGATACCCCTCTGAGTACCATTTAGTGTCTGTGCTGCAAGTATCATACAGCTAACGTGAGAGGAAGACTCTGCTTTTATATTTAGAAAGCTGAAACTGAAATGAACCCTATTAATAGGCTGTCGAACGCGTTCAGGCCGCTGGCAGCAGCTGGGCGAAGGTGAGCTGCAGCGGTGCAGGCTGAGGGCGTTGGAGGCGTAGCTTAGAGCGAGCACAAAAGAAGCATTTGCAGGGAGGGTGTCTGCAAAGGTCTGGATTCCTTACAGTGAAGAACAGAGCTGCGACCAGTACCTGCCCCTGTCCAGAATGGGAGGACTGGTATTTCCCCTCCTGCTTCTGTTGTAACCCGAGTTACTCGGTGTGCACGTCTCCAGGGGCAAGAGCCCTCTTTGCACGGCCCGCGAGCAGCGCTTATGTGGAGCTCCCTGGGTGCTCTGCCTTGCTGGAGGGTGCTCCGTAGCCTGAATTTGCTAAATTTGGCCAGGTGGTAGCTGTGCGGTTCTGCTTGCGTAAAGGCTGCTGCCGTGGTGCCCTGGGGGAATTGCGGTCTCATGGCAACAGACACACTTGAGGCACGCTGGAGCCTCCTGGCGAGTGGAGATGCTTCGCTGTGACCCACTCGGGTGTTCCCTCCGTGGCCAAAAAATCCTCAGGCTGTAAGAGACTCCCGGATCGTGGACCTGCGTGGCTCTGGGTGACCTGCCGGCTGCGTGGTGGCGACCGGCAGGAGGGCCTGTCCCTGTACCTGCTGCACCGTGTGGAAGAGTGCGCGTGCTCTCGTGTGGGTCCTGCAGCCCTGTGGGGATCAGCAGGGCACGCGCCTCCCGAGAAGCGGCACAGAGCACCAGAATCCAGGTTTCTGGGTTGGTGGGCCAATTTGGTAGGCTTAAATAAGCTAATGAGGGCATAGGAGTGAAGCATTGCTTCACGACGTGGCACCTGAGAGGCTGCCTTGGAAGGGACGGGTGCCCGAATGCCCGGCGTCCTGCTCCTGCTATCGCGGCTCCTCGTCCTGCCCCACTGCTCATCGGTTTTGTGTTTTGAGTGACTCTTTTAAACGTTGTGCTCTAGTTTTCTTTGGTGAAGAAGAAAAGTCCAGCGGAGTGCAGCTTCCCCCAACACCACAGCTGCCACTCCCTCTCCCCTTGCCAAGTGGCTCCGACTTTATCAGAGTAAGGTGACCACGTACCCAGCGGGTTGTCGGGAACGCCGCGCTGACCCAAGCCTGAGCAAGTTTCACGCCAGCGAAACCTGCACACAACTCCCCAGCTTCCAGAACAAAAGCCGGGGCTCGGTGCGCGGCGCGGCGGGTTCCTG